ATTCAGATCTCACTTATCCACGAAACATCAAAATACGAGATCTGACCTGTAAATTTTAAGAAAACACCACCCTTTTGTAGACAAATTTTTCTCACAGTGATCATTACTTAAATGTATGCAAATATAACAAACAAATATCACACTGATCGAATACGATAATAAGTGAGTATATGACAGAGATCATTAGAATAAAACCGAAAGTTACAATGAAGAAATATCATGCTGAATTAATTTCTAATCTCACTTTCGATCACTTCCTACGGAAGTTATATTCAATAATAAACCAGAAAAAGACTTCTGAAACATATAAATACTTTGTCAAGCCCTCCGGAACGTGGTTGATATTTCTAGAATGTTACAACTAACCTATATTTAGTCACACATGAAATATTAGATCCAGAAATCGGCCCTATGTTTTAAATACTTGATATTCTGAAATGAATTTAATGACCAGAGACTGAAATGATAAAATAGCTTTCTGAACTCTTTATTTAAAAAATTAAAGAAATATTAACTATTTTCACTCCCTTTTGGTAGGTTAAGAAGATATCATGGTATCATATTTGTTTCTTCCACTTATACCCATGCTAATCGCGAAGAATATTCTCAAAAAGTTTAAAGGATAGGATCGAATCGTTTACTTTTGGAATGTTTTTCTCCTACAAAGTTGTGAATGACACAAATTATCTAAAAAAACAAACAGCATGTTCACTCACCGTTGGTACATTCCACTCTAAAAAGGATCTTAACAGAGCAAATCACTCAGCCTACTAACCGTTCTATTGAAGACTGAAAACTACAAAACATTTTACACACGGTCTTAAGACCGTGTTATTCAATTATTAAATATTTTCTTTACGATGTGTTTCTTAAGAGGATACTAAATTAAGCAGTAACTTATTGCTTTCTGTTTAGAACATATTCTCACATTGACAGTTATCTCAACTAACTTAATCCTGTTCGAGAATCATTTGGAAAGTTATTTAGTGCCTACCAAATAAAATGACAAATTTAGTCGTTTCCCAAATTAAAAAGTTCACACAACGACTTGTCAGGCTTTTTTATTTATTTCCATTTTCCGTTTACTTCCGATAGTGACGTTGTTTATCGAGATACGATTCGACTAATGAACAAATCGAATTTGTAGCATATCTGATTACAAAGACCAGAGGGTTGAGGTTTAGGTACACACTTATTTAACCCATTCACACACTTCGACTGATGAGTTGTTATTATGATTATCAGATTAAAAGTCAGATTTATCAGCATTCTCAGTATGGGGTTGTGGAGGTTGTTGAATTTAATCGATATCATGAACCGATAAGTTAGAACACTGGTGCAAACCTGGAAGCATTGAATGATCATTCCATCTCAGTATGAAACTTTTCATCAGTACGCATACACGATCCAGAAATCGCGACTAAAACATAAAACCTTCGATTTTGAGCGTGAACGAATAACTTCTCTATTTATTTATTTGGTCTTGTAGGCAAAAACAATATTCATAGTTATTTGAGTTTTAGAAGTAGTTCATGTAAATAACAAGCATATCACCTTTTGAAATATTTTCACTTTACAAAATTCTTTTCAATCCCTGTTTATCTACTATCAGCTAACAATGTTAAATAAATCGACTTGTAATTATTTCTAAACATGAACAAGTAGAGAACAAAACAGAACACCGAATATAGGAAATTTTTTAAAATCATAAAATCACTGCTACTTTTATTCAGTTATGTTTTTAAACACTTTTCTTTTTACATAAATTTGTTTTCTAAATAACATAACTGAAGATTTTTTAAAAAAGCAGACAAATAAAAAAGAGTACTGTAATTATCAAACATGAGAGTAAATATATGAATGTTACAATGAAAATATAACCAAAACACATGGATACAAAATAATCCTTTTCAAATATCATACATCTCAAAATATTAAATACATAAGAAAAATGAATGATGAATTGATAAACAATATAAATATACGTTTATATTCCATGTTTTCTGGTTTTTTATATGCAATAATAAAATAATATTACTCAAACAGTTATGATAAATAAAAAGTAAATGATCCTATTCATTCTGTTTCAAGGACTGGAACAAAAAGAAGAAAATCAATGACAAAGAGACAAACAATAAAATGAAATATTAAAGTGTTTTTATACAATTTTATTGAAGTTAAGGATGATACAGATATGTGTATATCACAATCGGATGTCGAAATGCACACATACAAACACATGTGTATGTGCAATCGAGTTCACGAACTTTGAATATAAAGATTTTTTTTCTTTAAAAAAGCAATTGAGAAATATGAGATGTAAAAGAAGATAAATGATAAACTGTGCAAAATCAATAAATCATGTACCTGAATGATGTACATGTATGGGTACAAAAAACACATTATATATATGTATTCTAAAAAACCAACAAATGCAGTATCAATGAGATTTATAAACATCAAAGATAGAAGTAAAGTACATATCATTGTAAAATTATGATATTCAATCATTGAATTAGTTAAATAATTAAAAAAGAAAAACATCAATTTTAAAATGGTGGATTACGTCCATGGAATAATACAATCGGACTGTAAATCCATTCACCAATCGGGTGTTTTTCATTACACATGAACCAAGGTAGGAATAAAGGACAGTCGGGTAGAATAAATATACACAACAATGATAATAAAAGAAATATAAGAGGTAATAACAATAATAGACATGGTAGTGATCGACAACACCGTCTTCTCCTCTGTGATTTATTCTTTACAGTAATAATTTTGCTAGAAATAAGAAAAATTTCAAAAGTTTAACCAAGAATAATACGGAAGGTACGGTATGACGAAAAATCAGTTCTTTTCAAGTAAACAAGAAATTGAGTTTGACTACCATAGTCTATAGATATCAAACATTGATATCTAGCCAACCATTTTGATCATTGTTTCGTATGGCAGTATGGGAATGTGGATTATATTTAGTTAGATGTTAACAAGAGTAAACTATTGACAAGCTTGATGAGATAGGTTAGTGGTTCTTCAAATGATGTGGATTTAGAAAGAAGAAAATCACTTAACTTTTTTTGTGGAGAAATTAGATATTGCGTTCTGAAGTTTAGGTGAGGTTCTCATTTCTAAGATAAAACTTATTATCGATACGGTCAGATTATTAATATAGTAACACTAGTGGACACTTGTTATTAACTAACTTTATTGGTTTGATATATCCCAACGAGAATAATGAATGGTAACTATTGTGACCCATTTATGGACTAATACTATAAAAATATTTTTATTCTATAACTAAGTAACTAAACTATGTATATTTATATTCCGCTTATTATAAGCTTTACTTTGACCTATAGACTATTACTAAACGACTTACCATTCCTTAGTTATGCCCAATTTATTGAATACAGTCTCCAACGATCACAGCCACTTTTCGGCTAGATCTTGTACAAATGTTATTTTCTATTTTATAGTGCGATGTGATCTGTTTAGTTTGTATATAAACCCAGTATGTCTGTAATACATGATTCATATGGCGAAGGCTGAGATTTGTGTTCTGGACTCAACAGGCAGGGGGAAGGACCGATAAAGTCTCTAGACTGCCCGTACTGGTTTATGTGACATTGGTCCGGTTCATAAGTCACTGTTCTGTAATTGGCACTATCATTACGTTCTATATTAATAGGGCACAATGCCACAAATTATAACATGGTTAAACAAAACGGTAAATTTTGAAAATTCCTGAAGGGTATATATTCGATCATATTTGGAAGCTACTCTCCACACTAATTGGTTGGTTTAAATCAGAGTAAAACAGTTGGCTGAGAAAAGTTACTCATTTGATATCATTCCATCATAAAAAGTGATTATCTACTAGTAAATTATCTGATTAACAAACGTTTGAGGTTGCTGATACTGCCCAGTTCAAAGTCATTTGTGGCTAGTAAAGTTGCTATAACAAAACATAAATAAACTCATTTAAATAATTATTTATTGATTGAATGAAGTAGATCACGTTAAACAACTTGAACGGATAGCACAGACAGACTCGCTTCTCCTGAACCATATGCTTTCATATTACGTGGTGTGTTACTGCTAAAATTTACTGTTCATTAAGAATCCAAATTTAAATATGCAGTTTTAAGTAATTTAATTTTCGATGTGAAATGGTTAAATGATTTGTACTGATTCGTCCAATAATAAAATGGACTGTTCAATATTATTATTTAGATCACGTAGTAGAACAGGTCGAAATTTGAAGTAGAGCAACATCTAACTCATAAGCCGATAACTTGGAATGCTGATTCCCCATTAATTCATTTCTTCCCGACATTAGAAGGTTGGATGTAGTTGGGAGGAAACTGTGGACAGGGATTTCAGGTTAGCTAGCATTTTTCATTATGAAGTAACTGGAATTTTGAGGGGAATGGTGCTTCTAACGAGAAATGAACCTCGATCACTCAAATATACAGCCTGAGATCACCCGACTAGTTTAGTGAAAACATTTCAAAATATGAGAACTCGTGATGCTGGTTCGAATCCCACAGAGAACATCACTTCTGTCAACATTCTAAGTAAGCCTTCCTAAAAAGAACCAACTAGCCTGAAGTCCAAGATTTCTTCTCAACTGCCTCCAACCCCCTAACATCAAAACATAGTGTACGACAAATCGAGTCACTTGGACTATTGACCAAACAACAGATGGAATTAGATCAAATCGTCAGAATTGACAAACGTGACTTTGTTTAATACTTAGGGATCAGTCAATTTAATCCATCACTTATCATCTATGAAACATTTACTTATTCTTCAAAACAAAACATCAACCCATGATTGCAAGTATCTATGAGTTCATCAATAATGCGCATTTTCATTAGGCGTAAATTCACGAATAAACATGCAATCTAACACATGTTACTTCGATAAAGTATTTATTATATACCTATTTGATTATTATTGATTCTGATCATTTCTTTTTTACTTTATGTTTTCTTCTATATCACTTTCTCACAACTATTATTCCTTCATAAACACATGTATTCGAATCTAAATAAATTTCGGTTTAAACACTTAATGTTTTCAATAGTTGAAACCATGAGTTAATTGAAGCTAGACCACCATGGAAAATCTGAGAGTACTGGACGGCCGTTTCGTTCTAGTATGGGACTCCTCAGCAGTGTGCATCCACGATCCCGCCCTCCACGAGCGCGTAACCATTGGGCAACTTAATGTTTTGTATATTTAACGTTACTTATATAATGATATGTATTATTCGGAATTGAAATCTATTATTGTAATCACAAATCACAATATAGTGAATTGCCAAAGAAACAAACAAAACACTTCATCATATGGTAGCAGTTCTGAAATGCTTTTGGATAATATGTACAATATAAGTTAGCTTATCATTAGCTATTTGATGTATCAGAAAAAAAAGATTGAGGAAATGGTGACTTCCTGAACTATTTTATGAATTATCACTACTATTGTATATTCTTATTGCGTAATCATTAGGTAACAGGATTACTATGTTCTTATATTCTGCTTATTGTAAGCTTCCGCTCTATCCATTAACCATTATTATACTACATATTATTCCTATTTTATTGCCAGTCATATGTTCAGAGCTACTTTTAGCTTGTTTATGTTTCAATTTACGGTGTGCTCCGGTCTAGTATGTGCTGTACACAAACCCACGTGTGCTTGAAATACAATGTAGTGGGTGATGGCTGCTGTCTTCACTTCGAACTGAAAGTATGGGGTTAGGGAAAAATTATGCGGATGGAAGATCAATTAGGAACGTCACTCAAATTGCCTCAAGGCTAACTGAGCAGGTCAACTTATAACTGATTAGCTCTGAGACGCTAGGCTATAGACAGAACAGTAAACTTGAGATAGAGAATTCTGATAGGTGGATTTAACACGTGATATCGATAAGCGCTCCAAGTAATAACACCATTTGGCCTCATTCTATGTGGAATTTCACATTTTTGAAATTAATCTTTTTTCATCAATTAATTGTTAGATACGATAAAAGTGAACATTGAAGTATCCAATATGACGTTCAATATAGGTGATAAATAAGTAAGCAAAATTAAAATTAAGATAATTATTGAGAGGGTATGAACTCACCTTTCATGTAAATCAGTTTCACGAGCCATATTTATTGACATTACCTACAAAAATTGTGAGATATATTTGATGAAAATGAAGAAAACTGGAATTATATTTGATGCAGGTCACATTACTAATGACTTGTAACGTATGCTCAAGAGACCATTGTAAAAGAGAACAGAATGAAACTTAATCATTTATTGGGAGTAATTATAGGAACTATCTCACTTGTAGGTAGTTTTAATCGCAGACTAACCTTAGACGGAGGTTCACTGAAGACTAAAGAGCACCAGAGATCTGTTTTGTACTGAGTCAAAACCAGTCAACCAGAGAGGATCTATGATTACTCTTACCCAGGGTCTGGAAGTTACCAGCATCTTGCTTGACTGCCAGATCTTTGGGTTTCGGCACAAAAGTTCATATCTCAAACTTTAGTCAATCTCTAATATAGTGCGGTTATCATCCAGAGCCACCGTAAAGTAATTGTCTCGTTCTCAAAATATTTGAACTCCATTGCTCACTAGAAATTCAAGAACCTACCTTAAAAAGGGGCACTAATGTGCACAAAGTGCTAACTTGGTTTGGGATTTTGTAGAAAGTGGTTCGACTTTTAGATGACTTTTGTCACGAATTTACATAAGTTGGCATATTATTAAAAACTAAGGAGCATTGGATAGCCATTTAGTGCATAAATTAATCTCCATAATCCTCTAAACAATACTAGAATGATGACATACAAGCGAGACTTCATAGTCATTTTGAATAAATCATCATTCAATCAGTAACTCAAAAATAAACGAAGAGAGATCGCTGAGTTCCGTTGCTTTCGATCGGTAATTATTATTATCTTTCAATGTCATTAGAAGAAATTTAAGCTCACGAATATCTCATTTTAATTAAGAAATTCCATGTATCAGTAGAAGGTTTTGTGGAGATTATAGACCTTTTATAATTTTAAACTACGGACTGATCTTATTTAGACGATCCTATACTGATAAGAATCATGTTCTCACTAGCGACTATTTTCAAGATGCAATTACTAGAGTTCTAGTGAGAAGCTATGACCGGTAGAGTTCAACCATATGGAATGTGGAACAGATATCCATTACAGGTAACGGAATGTGGTCAACCAATATCGCGGATTGGAGACAGATGTATACAAAATTGGATGTCAGCTTATTGATCTGAGGGTTGAGTTCGCGCAAGAGTCAGAAGGTCCTGGATTCGATTTTCGAATGCTGCATTATGAGTGCTCATTGCCGAGGGGTCTCATACTAGGACGGAACGTTCATCCCGTTCTCCCAGATTCTCAGTGGTGGCCCAACTAAGATCCATTCATAATTTATAATCTATGAAAATTACATCTACTTAACACACTTGACATTAGACGTGAAGACTTATATTTTTTTGATTGAGATCATAGACCGATTGATGTTAGACCACGATTGAAAACCTGGAAGCACTGGACGGCCGTTTCGTCTTATAGTCTGATCTTGAAAGTGATCAAAGGTGAACACTATTTACTATAACTGTAAGCTAAGTGAAAATAATCATCCTGTTCTCTCTTGAGTTGGTTCTAGCAGTTTTTCATCTAATATTTTAAAGTGTTTTTTATTATTATTAATAACAGAGACTAAATTGCTAATCTCACCATTATTACATAAATAAATCCAAAGAAATTACAATTTAACTCACTTGCTGTTCTCTTTTAGGTTCTAAACAGTTTTTATTAGTGATTAGTGATTCATTTGTCAATCTTTCAGAATTGAATATATCAGGTAATAAGTTTACTCGATCATGAATATCGTTATTAATTCTCTTACAGTCCGATGATTTTTTATTAAGATCATCATATTGATTTATCACGGGAAATTTGCGTAAAACATGGACATTTTCTAATCTATATACTTGTTGGTGATTTGCATGCTCCGGAAGATGACGTTGACGACTATGTTTATCATGATATTGATGATGTATTATTAAATGTTGATCATAATTATTTTTATCAATATTCTCATCATTACTCTGATGATAAATATGTTCTGACTGATTGATAAAATTGTTTTTTAATAAGTCAGTCTCACTGTATTGATTAGAAGTATTTATCAGATTGTTTACTGATGATTCTCTCATTTGTATCCCTTTTTTATATACATGATGTTTTATATCAGTGGGAGGATTATTCAAATGTACCATTTGATATGATGTATCAGTTAACGGGGATTTAGATTGTTCAATTTCCTTGGTATCAGATTTATTTCTGAATAAATATGAATCACCATCATTTTTGCCTGTTAGTTCCAATCTGACTGGAGAATCAGTCTTTCTTTTCTCATTTTCCATCGATATGACTGATGGATCATGAGTAGTTAAACAAGTCTCAGCATTTCGATCATATAAATTTGTACAATCAATCAATGTAGTAGGTACTAAATAACTTTCAGTATTTGGTTTACAATTGTAATGCTGGTAATCAGGAGTATCGAATTCATTCTGATCAGTATAATCTGGTTGAGTTTTGTTATGGTCAGACATTATTTGATATTTTTCAAAGAAACCAGGTTTTAATGATATTGTTGTCGGGATTTCTGTAGTCGATATTTCTCGTGTAGATGGAGAATGTGACGTTGAATCATTATCTAGTTTGGAACGCTGCTCAGATTGTATAGATATATTAGACTGTTTGTTATTGAAACTCTCAGGTTGACTTATTGGACAATCTTCGGGGGATCTATTGATTTCAGTGGGTTTTTTCAAGTTGCCAGTCATAACGCGTTTAACTCGATGATTATTTGCAGCCTTCCGGTTTGCTTTACGTAACTTCTTGTTAGCCGATGTAAATTTATGGGGATCGTTTATTGGTTTATTTAAATTAGATGTGAGTGAAGATGGTGAACTCATACTATTATCAGTATTATTACTGATAATATTGATAGTCGTTTTCACAAACGCATCTGTATCCGACTGTGGTGGATTAACCTTGGATATTGGTATGACATTTTCTAGCTGATATGAACGAATTCCATCTCTGGTCGTCTTAGAGACACTCGGTGATAGACATTCATAATCTTTATTGAATTTATCGTGTTGAACAGAATCCATAGGGGGGAAATGACGCTTGTCCCTCGATATGTTATCACTTATTTCCTCATTATAATTTTCCGCTTTATCATTCTTATTTTCTGCGTTTTCAGTAGATTTCGAAAAATGATCAGTTCCAATATTCCGATCCCGATTTGTGTTACTTCTAACTAATGATTTCGCTGATTCCAAACTTATACTAGTTGGATTATCCGTACAAATTTGCTTCTTTGTTTTATTTGTTTCTGTATCCTGTTCAGATTTTAATTCAGTGCACACGTCAACAATAGGTGAAGTTCCTTCGGGACTAATGCCGGTACTGGGAAAATAACTTTTATCATTTTCTTTCAATAATCTTGTATCTGGTAAAGCAAAACGTATAGTCATTTGCTTATCATTATGATGAGAACTTTTCAAGTTACCATCGACAGAACGTCTGTCACACTGATTAGTAACAGTGTTTGAGTCTGTTACTGATATTGGATTATTTAAATGTGAAGTAACGCATGATGACGAGTTAGCTGATTTGTTTGGGTGACTGATTATTTCATCTGATTTGAGTATTACTTCCAGATCACCACCGTGTTTCACTGTATCATTGATGTTGATCAGGTCATTTGTTTCTGTTGATTCATTGCCTAAACTAGTCATCCGATTATCGTCAGTTGAAGACCAGCATAAGTTATTACTCAGTATTACTTCATTGTTTTGAACTACAGAATTTTTTACTTCATCAGATTCTTGTACGAGAATCTGACTAGCATTATACGACATTGTTCTGTTGAGAACTGAAGAACTAGAATATAGTGATAGGTTTAGTTGCTCATCAGAATGGTTGACTCCATCAATATCTATATCGTTTTTTAACATTTGATCATCTAAAAGTGAGTTATCTATCATTCTCGGTAGGTATGTTAAAACACAAGGTTCGTTATTCACAATATTATTATCGCAAATGTCTTTACGATTAACATCACCATTATCATACTTCTCCTCCGAAAACTCTTCCTTCCCTAACTTACGTTTTCTAGTCTTTTTAATTCTATCTTTTCGTGTTGTTATTTGATTGGTTCCAGGAATATCTTCTTTAAATCCAGAAACTTTCGTTTTATGAGTAGTTTCCTGAGTAAACGTTTTATCAGTTGGACTTATACTACTAACTACTTCACAAGTAGTATACTGAGGTAGACTATACAAATATTGTTCAAATGACATTTTATCAAAATTACTTAACTCTCCACCTGTTTGTTCCTTATTTTTACATGTTTTTTCATGGATCCTAGTCGTAGTAACAACAGCGGATGGTTTATACGCGCCGTCTATTTTCATTATTTGAGTCTGGAATGACTGATTCATTTTTTCATTTGGAAAAGTAATCGATGGTTTTAATGATGCCGGTTGCTCTAGTGGCAATTGTACAGTATGTTGATCATCAAAATCACACGAAAATAATCTACTCTTCAGGTCATCTAAATATTCAGTTCTAGATGATTTATTCAACTTTACATTTGAATCTCTTCGAGTGTAGTATGAATCATCTTCATCTTGGATTGTTCGTGATAAATAGAAACTTTTATCATCATTACTACTAACATTTAAATCACTTTTCATTGATTCATTATCTTCATTTTCAATATCATGCAGTAAACTTGTGAATACTGATTTCAAATACTCCACTTGAATTTCATTGTGTTGTATAAGACTGATAAATAGTGTAAGCCAACGTGTTTGTGATATATCAACACCGGATTTAGAGGAGTTTGATGAACGTAGACATAGAAAATCATGTAATCTACAATTCCATAAATTAAGCAAATCGATCATTGACTTATATTCCGGTAAATAAATAATTTTATATTCTGTAGCGGAAGGTAATGACTGGAACGAATCAAGTTCTGATTTAATTTCGCATAGAATCGATAAGTATTCTTTAATTATTGGTGACCAATAGGTGGATAAAGATGAAATTGACGATGATGTCAATGTGAATGATTGTACATCAATAGGTAACAGATTGGATAGTCGATTTTGTCGATTCGATAATAAATGTGATTGTAAATTAGAAATAAGTGTATGTAAATTACTCATGTGATTGCATAAACCACACATTGAGTTGATATTATTGTTACTAGCATTAATATTGTTATCTTCATGAAAACTAGAATATGAATCAAGATGACGACACTGGTAGATTTCATTAAATGTTTTTCTCATATTGAAATTTTTCACAGTAGAAAAGGTAGGATGAAGACTATTTGGTATCGATGATGTTTGTGGTATAGAGAATAAAGATTCAGATGATTGATCTGTTTTATATAATGAAGTTGGTAAACAACTTTTCATTGTTTCTGTATTAATCTCCTTTTGGTCAGACTTCAATTTATGCTCAGTTAAATGAATGCTAATTGTTGTTGTTGTTGTTGTTTTGACTGAAGTTGAGAAAAATGAACCATTAACGTTAACATCATGAAATTCTGACTGTTTATTAATGTTGTATATTGTAGTTGAAGTTACATTTGATAAAGAAGTTTGTAATTGTTTATTCGATAACGTAGAATTATTTCTAGTAGATTCATATTTTGGATTTGAATCCATTGTTGTATTAGGTGAGAATCTATTGATTATGCTCTCGTTTTGTTCATTGGTAGTATTTTCAATTAATGAATCTATAGCGTGAGTATTCAAAATAACTTTATTATTATTGTTAGGAATTAGTCCTTTTGATGTTTTGTCATCAACATAGATATTTATTGGTTTTAATTTAACCTGATCAAGGATCGAATGTGATATTTGATTATTTGAAGGCACTAATTTATCAGATTTATGAGAAGCTTCTAACTTATTCGGTACATTATATTCAGGCTTTGAATTCATAGTTAAAGTAGATGTATATGAGTTTGTATGAGTACTATTAGTCATCGAGTTTGTTAGTTCTCTATGAGTTTGAATTTCAAGAGGGTGAGGCTTCATTTCAAAATCTCTTTTGACATTACTTGATAATAATGGGACTTCGATGGAAAGTTTATTAAACTGTAAAACCGAATCTCTATGATTGCAATTAGGAGAACTAACTTCCGGTAATTGATTATTACACTCTGAATTATTGTTTGGTAAAAAGTTTATTTCATGATTGTGTATATTTGAAGGGGTTTTGTTGTCTACAGATAAGGTATTCTTTTCTTCAATAGATAAAATTTCTGAACTATTTCCATTCATATTCGATGAAATCTTTTGAAATGACGAAGTAGTTGAGGATAATTCACTAATCATTCTATTTATAAAATCATCAGAAAATTTATCAGTTCCATATTTTAATTGTAAATCAACTGTATTAGTAGGATCATGTGTTTTTCTTCGATTTACACTTTCATAGCTAGGATTTGCATTTGCAGAAGAGGGAAATACAAGTGGTTGCGGGTCTAATCCATGTGTTGTTATTTCACGCCATGTCCAATCACAGTATTCATCATCATATGAACTATTCGTTTGTTTTTCAACTAAATGCGGACGATTATTTGAAGGTTTATCGTTCATGTCTTGGATAAGAGTTGTATAGTCTTGTGACATAGAATGATAACTGTTTAGAATACTCGTTGAAGTTGTAGAGTGTGAAGAAATAGATTGATGATAAGAGGAAGCGTCAGTAGGGATATACTGTTTAGAATGAATATCATTACCTTGTATCTCTGCACTGGTAGATTTGATTGAATATTGTTCAGGTTCATTTTGCGGAATCGATAATCTTGAATACGACCTAGCCTTATCTGTACAGTTATTTAAATTTTCTTGGGATTTATCCACACCAAACCATAACTCTTCTAAGGACTGAAAATATTCTTGAATAATGGCAACTTTAGGATAGTTAGATTTTACTAATTCGTTAATAAGATTTTTCAGTTCTTGATACTCTGACTGCAAACTATGTGAATTATGCCAGCGTAACCGACGTGCATACTTAACCAGATCAGATAATTCAGACTTTGAAATTGAATCTCTTTGTCGTTGAAACACTTCACGATTAAGGGATTCATTGTAATCATTTTGTAGATACGTATGTAAGTTTATCAACTTTTTAAATATCCACTCAATTTTATTCTGAATGTTTAACTAATGAGGTAAGATTGATGAAATAAAAACAAATCAACACATTCAAAAGGATTCGATAAAACAAAACTAGTTGAACATTAACTACCGGAAAAGCATTATATATAGATCATTAAAAGTTAAAAACAAACACGACTTCAAATAAAAACTATTAAGGTTCTTCTATATAATAAATGATTCATAAATCGGTTATAACTGGTAAATGTTAGATATACATATGGGTTGTAGTATTTTCACAGTTGAAATCACTAGTCGATTTAAGCTAGACCACTATTCAAAAGCTTGGAAGCACTGGACAGCAATTTCGTTTTTACACTTGTTCATTTCAGTATAAAGATTGATATTCACATAATTGAAATAAATAATAAAACCATTTCTCATCTGTAACGCTTAAATTCCTTATTAGTAATTAGCGATATTAATTGATTGCTATAACAAATGGTACTCTAATTGTAAAGGTAAAGTGATACACTTCAGTAATATTTGTAGTTTTATGTTATCAGTTGAAAGCAGATAACATCAGTCAGTCAATTATCTACAACGTAGGACCAGGCATATACATTCATCGGTTCAAGTTGCCACAACTTATTAGTACAACAAGATGAACACCAAATTCATACAAACAGTTACTTCAATGGTATTAAAAAATGGTTGAATTTAAGGAAAAGAACTAGTTCATAGAAGGAAAAGTACGAAGTAATTTTAATCTCACGGTCTAAAACAAGACAAATAGTGTATATACCAACACCATTGTCATCGATTCTGAGTCATGTCACACAAAGTCTCCAACAATTAGTTATGATGATAGTCACGCGAACTCAAACCAAGTAGTCTGAATCTACTAACATGACTAAGACTAGAAGTTAGTGACTTCAAGGACTGATGCTACGTTATAGTTTTTCCACCCCTAACTTTCTTCCAACCATCCCCAACACTAGTAAGCAGTGCTCGTCGTGATAATTAATGTTCAGGCACACACAGCACGTGGCCCAACCATCTCAGTCGATGAAGATTCACAACCTTATCAACTGATTTACCATCATTCCCTAACACCTTGCGTCTAATCTCACTATTACTTACCTGGTGATCCCAGCAGATGCGAGCAATATTTCTAAGGCACCTGTGGTCAAATACTAGTAACTTACGAATATCTTCTACTCTTAAAGGCCATGTTTCGCAGCCGTATAGTAGAACGCAACGAGCTGTCGCGCAGTATACTCGTCCTTTTATTGATAGATGAATATCCCGTCTTCGCCGTAGATGGTAAAAAGACAAACGAGCTTTTTGAATCCGTGCAGAGATTTCGTCAGACACCAACTCATTAAGGCTGATCAAACTCCTAAGATAAGTGAAGTTGTCTGCGCGATAGACTACTTCACTCCATATCCTTAGTTCAGGTGTTGACGCAGGCCAGTTCTGAAGCAACAATTTGCATCTAGAGGTGGAGAAACGCATTCTAAACATCCTGGTATTGTTGCTCAGTGCTACCAAAAGACTCTGCGCTTTATCAGCTTCTTCATTAAACAGAACTATGTCATCTTTGTATTCTAAGTCAATAGACAGATAAAGGTATAAACTTAAATTCACATGGATTGTTTATTTATCTCAAGAAAGGAGTAAACTTAAGAAATTAATTAAACTGACTAGATAATGGTCAACAAAAATGATTCAAATGATTGAAAGCTGAAAATAAATTTTATAAAGTGGTAGAATAAATACTTACAGATAGACAAAGTCGAAAAACTTATTAAAGTTATAAAATAGTCTTAGTCAGAAAACCATTAAGAACCTGAAAGTACTGGATGGGTATTTCGTCCTGAAATCAGTCTGCGATATTGAGTGAGCATCTTCCAATATTGTGAATTGACTGAAGTTAAACTTGTCCACAGAATGCAAGCTCAGTGGTTTAAAAACCAAGGAGTAGCTAGCGAAAACGAAGGCTCTGATTTCGATTTCAAGCAGTAAAGTTATAGGTGCTCAATGTTGAGGAGATCCATATTATGATGAGAAGGCTGTTCAGTGCTACCGTTAGTGATCACACTACAATGCAACCATTTCCACAACCCTATGATGATAAAATCCTATACCCATCAGTATCCAAGGTAGTTTCGTGAAGTCATGAAAGTAAACGAAGTTACATTTAATCAGGTCTATACGACGCACATAAAACCAGTACAAATGGTTCGAGATATCTGACTTTAATATTATTTAATTTGATACTACACACTACTTATTCATTTCAAGTAGTCTAACGGGATGGATATCGTCGATGTATCAATTTCTAAGAAACGTATGCTATATCACACAAGCATAAA